TTATCTTGTCACCCTCCTCATTTAACTTATATGCAGAGTACATCATGAGAAACGCTGGGCTGGATGAAGCATAAGCTGGAATCCAGATTCCTGGGAGAAATATCAGTAACCTCAGATATGCAGATGACACCCTCCTTATGGCAGAAAGTGAAGAAGAACTAAAGAGCCTCTTGATGAAAGTGAAAGAGGAGAGTGAAAAAGGTGGCTTAATGCTCAACACTCAGAAAACAAAGTTCATGGCATCCGGTCCCATCATTTCATGGCAAATTGATGGAGAAACAGTGGAATCAATGGTAGACTTTATTTTTCTGGGCTCCAAAATCATTGCAGATGGTGACTACAGCCATGAAATTAAAAGATGCTTACTCCTTGGATGAAAATTATGACCAACCTAGACAGCATATTAAAAAGCAGAGACATTACTTTGCCAACAAAGGTCTGTCTAGTCAAGGCTATGGTTTTTCCAGTGATCATTCATGGATGTGAGAGTTGGACTATAAAGAAAGTTCAGCACCAAAGAATTGATGCTTTGGAACTGTGGTGTTGGAGAAGACTCTTGAGAGTCACTTGGACTGCAAGGAGATCCAACCAGTCCATCCTAAAGGAAATCAGTCCTGAATATTCATTGGAAGGACTGATGTTGAAGCTCAAACTCCAATATTTTGGCCACCTGATGTGAAGAGCTGACTTATTTGAAAAGACCCTGGTGCTGGCAAAGATTGAAGGCAGGAAGAGAAGGGGATAACAGAGGATGAGATGGTTGGATGGCATCACCGACTCAGCGGACATAAGTTTGAGTAAACCCCAGGACTTGTTGATGGACAAGCGTGCTGCAATCCATGGGGTAGCAAAGATTCGGACATGACTGAGCAACTGAATTGAACTGAACTGAGGGCTTCCTTGGTGGCTCAGATGGTAAAGAATCCACCTGTAATGCAAGAGACCTGGGTTCGATCCCTGGGTTGGGAAGATCCCTTGGAGGAGGGCATGGCAACCCACTTCAGTAATGCATCACTAGCTGCATTTCAGCGCTACAGGTTTAAATGATATTCTGGATGCATGTGTGCCTGCTAAGTCATCACTTAGCAGACATCTCAGACTCTTTGCGACCCCATGGGCTATTGCCCATCAGGCTCCTTTGCCCATGGGGTTTTTCCAGAAAGAATACTGGAGTGGGCAGCCCATCCCCATCTCTTTCCTCTGCTTCAAGCCCTGACAGTCTCTTTCCTTTACTTCACGTCCTCACACACACACACACACACACACACACACACGAAGAGAGAGTAGGGTGTATTAGTTTTTAAGGCTGCTATAACAAATTGCCATGAACTGGGTAGCTTAAAACAATGGATATTTATTGTCTCACAGTTTTGGAGCCTCTATATCTGATATCACGTTGTTGACATGACTGTGTTTCCCCTGAAATCTGTAGAGAAATCCTCACTTGCTTCTTTCTCAGTTTTGGTGGCTGGCCAGCAGTCTTTGGTGTTCCTTGGCTTGCAGGTGCATGACACCAATCTTTGCCTTTGCCATCAAACAGCCTTCTCCCCGTGTGTCTCTTTCTCCATTTGGCTGTCTTCTTATAAGGACACTAGTTATTGGATTAGGGGTCCACCTACTCCAGTATGACCTCATTTGAACTTAATTACATCGGCAATGATCCTATTCCCAAATAAGTTCATATTGTTGAGTACTTGAGGTTAGGAATTCAACATATCTTTTGAGGAGTGGGAGAATATTCAACCAATAACAGATGGTAACCATGAGGAGAGCATACCACAGAAACCAAAGACATTGCCTTGATTCCAGAATTTATTCCAAGAAGGAGTCCTACTACAGTGGGGTAGAAGATCGAAGAATCTTTTTAAGTATGTATTCCCACCTACTATTTGGTTTGCTTATGGACTAACTGGGTTTTATTGACAACTGTATGCTATCATGAGTTAATGATATTAAAAAAACTGAATGCCTTCATATTAAAGGCTGAATGGCCCTGGATACAGGATAGCGGCCCTATCCTTTCTCGTAGTTTTCCCCAGCTATCCTGTTTGGAGGGAAATGATGGTGTATAATTTTGATGAGTAAATGGGATAAGTGATTGTTGTGATGAGGCTGTCACTCTTTGCCAGAGAACTGTCTTTGATGTTTAAAGTATTACTTGGGACCTAGATGAAAGAGTTAGTCATAAAATAACAAGCCTAACCAAGGGGATGCAGCTAGCATTTAGGAAATGCACCCATTTTTCTGTATCTCCTCTTTTCCTTTGATCAAACATGTACACATTATTAATAAAAAGAAATACAAATTTTAAAAAGACATGAAAAGGGAATGGTAAAATGAACCCTGCCATAGTCCAAAAGAAAAAAAAAAATCACAGCAATTTCACATCAGGCCCTTTGTTGAGATCCTATACAAGAACAGCAGTATGATTGGGATTCTTAAATGGCAGTGGCTGAAATGGCTAATAAAAGCCTGATAATGACACAGAATCAAATCACCAAATAAACCCATCTCAAAATCCAGTTTCTCTAGAAGGGAAGGGCATGAACTTTATGGTTGGCACTGTCTCTTAATGTAGGACCTTAGGCAAGTGACTTAGTCTCTCTCAAGTTTGCTATGTATAAAACTAAGGATAACTACCTAGCAAGGCTGTAGTGAGAATTAAGTATCTAGCCAAACGCAGGATACATAACAGGTGCTTCACTAAATTGAAGCCTTCCACCTCCCAGTCCTGCAAATATATGCAAAATACAATCTTTGCCCACTACCCCTCACCTACTCTTCATCTCATTCTCTTCCTCTCTCTCTCTGCCAAATTTCTTATTTATAATCTAGCAGAGGGTATATAAACAGGAAATGACTTGCATTTATTTTTAAAAACCAGTGTAAAACAATGTAGTATACCACTGACTACTTAAGTGCTGACAAACTCGACATTCCTAAAAACAGCAAACACATATTGAGTGATCACTCATGCCAGGCATGGTGCTAGGCATGGAGTATTCACTAGTAAGTGAAACATCTTCCCTCCCTGGTGGAGTTCAGTTTAGTGAACTGAATGGTGAAGAAGCAATGAATATATAATTGAAAAATATGTTCAGTGCCCTAAAAGAAATGATCAGGTGCAATGATGGAGACTAATGAAAGGGCAGGTGGGATACTTAGTTTAGGAAGGATGGCCTTTCTGAGGTGACATTTAAACTGAAACCTGAAAGATGAGAAGCTAGATGTGTAAAGAACAAGAGCAAGTGTCTTCAAGACAGTGGAATCAGCATGTGCAGCGAGGCAGTCAGGAGCTAGAAGTGTTTGAGGAGTAGTTCTGGCAGTGTCAACAAGATGGAGGGGCTACCATGAAGTAAAAATCCAGTTCTTACCATGGCCTCAATGTCCCACCTAAACTGCCCCTGTCCGCCCCCCCGCCCCCCCCTCCTATCCTCCCCAGGTGTCCACATCACCTAGTCTTTCTGTCCTTTATGTACTGGTCTCACGCCCACCTCAAGAATGAGAGGTTTGCTGCGATTGCTGTTCTTCTGTCTAGAATGCTCTGCCTGGATGATTCTCAACTTCTGGCCCCAGTGGTCAGTCAGGCCTCAGATCAAGTGTCATCTCTGGAGAGAGATCGCTAACTACCACCCCTCACCCAGTATTAACTTTTGGTGGTTTTTTTCTCTTCCCATCCCTCATCACTATCAAACGTTATTTTGTTGATTTTTTGAAGTTTGCTTTTTTTTGTTTTGTTTTATACTCTCCCCTAAAATGTAAGTCCCATGAGTTTATTTTCCTTGTCGCTATAACCTAGAATCATATCTAGAATGTAAATGAAACTCAAATATTATTTGTTGAATTTACAATGAATGAAATAAAGCTTAAAGAGGTAAGGCGAGGTATTAGAAAAGAACTGACCAAATTGTGTGAGAGGAAGGACTTCCTGGAAGAGGTGTGTTTTCAGTTATTAAAATTGAAGGGGCAAGACAGCGAAGGTGGCGTGCAGGTAAAAAACAAGAGTTGTGGAAGTCACTCGTTCATCCCCGTCCTTTTCCACTAGATTAGGAACACCTTTAGCGCTGGACGAAGGCACTGGCACCCCGCTCCAGTCCTCTCGTCTGGAAAATCCCATGGACGGAGGCGCCTGGTGGGCTGCAGTCCATGGGGTCGCACAGAGTCGGACACGGCTGAAGCGACTTCACTTTCACTTTTTACTTTCCTGCATTGGAGAAGGAAATGGCAGCCCACTCCAGTGTTCTTGCCTGGAGGATCCCATGGACGGAGGAGCCTGGTGGACTGCCGTCCATGGGGTCGCACAGAGTCGGACACGGCTGAAGCGACTTCACTTTCACTTTTCACTTTCCTGCATTGGAGAAGGAAATGGCAGCCCACTCCAGTGTTCTTGCCTGGAGGATCCCGGGACGGGGGAGCCTGGTGAGCTGCCGTCTATGGGGTCGCACAGAGTCGGACACGACTGAAGCGACTTGGCAGCAGCAGCAGCAGTTAGCGCTGGAGCCGCGTTTTACTAATCTTTCACCAGCGCCTGTCCTGGGACCTGGCACATAGATAGGGTTTTACAAAATGACTGACTGTGAGGTGCGCAGAAGGGTCTATTAACTCGGCTGCGGTACAGTTTGAGACTGGCCACTAAGCCTGGCAGCACCCGTGCGACGGAGCAGACGGCTTTGCCGAAGCCGGCCTCGACGGGTGGGGGTGGGGGTGGGCAGCGGCTTCCGCGCCTGCGCGCTACGGTTCCCCGCGGCGCGGCGCGGGGAGCCGGCCGCCTCGGCGCGCGCCTGCGCAGTGCGGTCTTCCCGCCTCCGACAAGATGGCGGCGGCCGAGTAGCGCGGGGGCGGGGTGTGGCCGCCGGAAGCCCGGCCGCTGCCGGGGGGAGCCGCGGGCGCAGGCCCGGGCGCAGCGGGCCGAGGCGGGATGCTGTTCCCTGGGAGCGCCGTTGGCCACCGGTGAGGAAGGTCAAGTACAGAGCTGCCTCCCCGAGCCCCCGGCGCCCCCTATGTACACCCCCGTCTGCTCGAGTGCGGTCGCCGCTTTGCCTACTTCGGTACCGCCCTGTGCTGTCGGGTCCCGGAGCTCCGGCGGCGGCAGGGGCTGTGTCCGGCAGGAGAGGAAGCGCCCGGGCTGCGTCCGTGCTTCTGTCCGCGGGGCGAGCGTCTGGCAGGTGGGTGAAGCTGCAAGCTTCGATGTCTCCTCTTTGGGCAAAGCTTTCTCGGCTTTGCCCCGCTGTGGCTGAGACCCTGGTGGTGCTCAGCCGGACTCCGCCGCTCCCTTGTCTCCACGTCCCGCCCCCTCTCCGCGCCCCGCTCCAGGCCTCCAGCTGGCCCCTGACTTTGCGTGCCCTCCATTCCCACCCAGGGGCCGGGGGTCGCAGCACCGGCCGCCCTCCGCAACCTTTCCTGCCTCCTGCTGAAGCGTCAGCCCTTGCAAGCGGTCCCTCCTTCGCGTTAGGTGGGTGGGTCGTCTGCCTGTTTTAGTCACCTCCCCATCTTCCTGATTTCGACCTTTTGCTTCCTTGAGAAGTCTTTTAACTGTCTGGAAAGCTTTCCCAGGCTTATAGACTTACAAAGAAAAGCTTGCTATCCAGACGCCGGTGGATTTTGTTCATCTTGTAGGGGGAATCCAGCCCCCAGGAGACTTTGATGGTTTTGGGAATTTGACCATCGAACTCCTGCAAAGTTGAGGAATGGTGCCAGTGACGGCAAGTGATTCTTCATCTAAATTAATCCTTTTCTGACTACAGCAAGTCTTTGGTCTCTAAACTTTTGGGTGGGGGGGACGGGGGGGACGTATGTATATTAGATCCAGGGAAAGAATTGAGAAGTGGTCCTGGTTTTAAAAGAAGGCTTTATGAAGCTAAGGAATGTAATAGCCCAAGAAAGGATAAGCGATTTTAGTGATTCTTTTATTCACTGTTAGCCTAAATCGTCCATTGAAGCTTCACAATCTTGTGTTGTCCAGGCCCTTTGTTTTATTTGGAAAGGACTAAAATGGAGAAAACGCTTTTTAAACTTGAAACTTCTCAAATTTCTTGGGTTCTCAATTGTTATTAGTACTACTTGACAATCCTTCTTGTACTTGATATTTTCTGCAAAATTTAGGTTGTGCCAGTGTCATTTCTTCTTCATTTATTACTAGGGCAAGAGTAGTCAGAATTAATGGTGTAAAAAGTGCAAACTGAAGGAGGGATGTGGTAGTGGAGGTTGCCATGTCTGATTTTTCCCATTTTTTCCTGTAATTGGATAATGTGTCAAGAGCAGAAGAATGGTAAAAAATGAAGTTATGAGTATAAATGGTAGCGTGTCCACTGAGATTGCAATGGGTGGACCTTTTAAAATTAAATTGAGTGATATCCTTTTTTTGAAGCCATGCTAGGTGCTCTCCAGAGTTTCTAGAGCACAAACTGTTGTTGCCTTATTGGAATTTTATGCTAAAAGTCTTTTAACAGGTGGGTTACAATTGGCCTGACAGATTTAACTTTTCGTTCTACCTCCTGACACACATCTGTCTTAACCTTTATTGTAGACTTTTATCCTCTTGATGAATTTCTTAAATTTGGAGATAGAATTGTTCATTTTAAAAGGAGAGGAGATACTTTAAATGTTTGATTCCTGTGCGGGCAAATTCATTCACTTGTTTGTTGCTGTGCTAGGCTAAGTCGCTTCAGTCATGTCCATCTCTTTGCAATCCTGTGGACAGCCAGACTCCTCTGTCCATGGGAATTCTCCAGGCAAGAATATTGGAGTGGGTTGCCATTTCCTCCTCCACAGGACCTTCCCGACCCAGGGATCAGACCCACATCTCTTATGTCTCCTGCATTGGCAGGTGGGTTCTTTACCACTAGAGCCACCAGGTAAGCCTGTTTGTTTCCTGCACCCGAGGACTGCGTGTTTTTACAGGCACTTGTCTCTCAATTCTGTGCTTTTAGCTGACGGGGTAGTGCTCAGCCCTAGGCAGTAGCTCATTGCCTGAGGCATTGTGTCAAGACCTGTCTGACCACAAACAAGCACTCTTCCACACCTATGGAACCCGTTTTCTCTCTCTCTTTCTTCCCCTCTTCCTGTCTTTAGGAACCCTCCCATCTTTGTGTCTCTCTATTCATTCAATTCATTAGCCTACTGCCCTTTTCATTTGCCTCCCCTAGTCACCAGGATCCCATGGCCATCAGTTTTTACCAGCCCGTCATTGATACCTTAGAATACTTAACTCAATTTATCTTTCTAGTGCCCAGTTCTGAACAGGCCTAATCACTATCTTGATCTCTGAAGGATACAAGAGACAGTTGTGTGAGAATTTTGGATTGTTTTCATACCAGTTAGTGTTCTGTTATCTTCCAGATCTATAATGTCGATTGTGGGTTTTTTTGTCTTACTTCATGAAAGTGTTTATAGCAAATAACTTGATCTTTTCCTTTCCTGAGAAAAATCTCAAACATCTGAGGTATAATCTTTTCTATCCTGATATCATTTCTTTATTTACTCTTATCTGAAAAGAAGGAATTGTCCTTCCTTTCCTTCAAGAGCAACCTTCTCCAGATGTGTCCATGATCACCCCTCTTTATCTTTCTTTCTCAGTGATTATCCGTTATCACTCCTCTTTAAGTCTTGCCCTCTCTAGCCTACAAACATGCTTGAATATACCTTTGCCAGGGCTGCCAAACACAGTGCTGTGTGCCGTGCAGCTCACAGAAGCCAGCCTGAATTTTGAGCCTGCTGTGCCACTGTATTTTTATTCTTTAATCCTAGGAGCCTGGAGTAGTTGTTGTTCAGTCGCTCAGTTGTGTCCAACTCTTTGCAACACCATGAACTGCAGCATGGCAGGCTCCTCTGTCCTCCGTTACCTCCTGGGGTTTGCTCAAATTTATATTCATTGAGTCAGTGACACTACCTAGCCATCTCATCCTCTACCACCTCCTTCTCCTTTTGCCTTCAGTCTTTCCTAGAATCAGGGTCTTTTCCAGTGAGTTGGCTTTTCACATCAGGTGGCCAAAGTATTGGAGCTTCAGCTTCAGCATCTGTCCTTCCAGTGAATATTCAGGGTTGATTTCCTTTAGGATTGGTTGATCTTTTTGCAGTCCCAGGACTCTTAAGAGCCTTCTCCAGCACCACAATTCTCAATTCTTTGACACTCAGTCTTTATGGTCCAACTCTCACATCCATACGTGACTACTGACCATAGTCAAAGACCATAGCTTTGACTATATGTACCTTTGTCAGCAAAGTGATGTCTCTCCTTTTTAGTATGCTGTTGAGGTTTGTCATAGCATTTCTTCCAAGGAGCAAGCATCTTTTAATTCCATGGCTGCAGTCACCATCCACAGTGATTTTGGAGCCCCCCAAAATAAAGTCTGACACTGTTTCCACTGTTTCCCCATCTATTTCCCATAAAGTGATGGGACCAGATGCCATGATCTTAGTTTTCTGAATGTTGAGCTTCAAGCCAACTTTGTCATGCTCTTCTTTAACCCTTATCAAGAGGCTCGTTAGTTTCTCTTCACTTTCTGCCCTTAGAGTGATATCGTCTCCATATCTGAGGTTATTGATATTTCTCCCATCAGTCTTGATTCCATCTTGTGCTTCATCCAACCCAGCGTTTCTCATGATGTACTCTGCATAGAAGTTAAATAAGCAGGGTGACAAGATACAGCTTTATTATACTCTTTCCCAGTCAGTTATTCAATGTCTGATCCTAACTTGCTTCTTGACCTGCATACAGGTTTCTCAGGAGGCAAGTACGGTGGTCTGGTACTGCTGTTTCTTTAAGAATTTTCCACAGTTTGTTATGATCCACACATTCAAAGGCTTTAGCGCAGTCAGGGAAGCAGAAGCAGACGTTTTTCTGGAATTCTGTTGCTTTCTCTATAATCTAACAAATGTTGGCAGTTTGCTCCCTGGTTCCTCTGCCTTTTCAAAACCTAGCTTGTATATCTGAAAGTTCTAGGTTCACATTCTTTTGAAGCCTAGCTTGAAGGATTTTGAACGTAACCTTGTTAGCACGTGAAATGAGTGCAGTTGTATGGTAGTTTGAACATTCTTTGACATTACCTTTCTTTGGGATTGGAATGAAAACTGTGACCTTTTCCAGCTTTGTAGCCACAACTGAGTTTTCCAAGTTTGTTGACATATTGAGTGCAACACTTTAACAGCATCATCCTTTAGAATTTTAAATAGCTCAACTGGGATTCCGTCACCTCCACTAGCTTTGTTGGAAGTAATGTTCCCTAAGGCCCCCTTGACTTCACACTCCAGGATGTCTGGCTCTGGGTGAGTGACCGCAGTAACTGGTGTACTGTTCTCTGTGTATTCGTGCCACCTCTTCTTAATATCTTCTCCTTCTATTAGGTGCTTACCATTTCTGTCCTTTATGGTGTCCATCCTTGCATGAAATGTTCCCTTGATGCCTCCAGTTTTCTTGAGGAGATCTCTAGTCTTTCCCATTGTGGTGTTTTCTTCTATTTCTTTGCATTGTTCACTTAAGAAGGGTTTCTTATCTCTTCTTGGTATTCTCTGGATCTCTGCACTCAGTTGAGTATATCTTTCCCTTTCTCCCTTGCCGTTCACTTCTCTCCTTTCCTCAGCTGTTTGTAAAGTCTCCTCAGACAATCACTTAACCTTCTTGCATTTCTTTTTCTTGGAGTAGTTTGGTCACTGCCTCCTATACAATGTTATGAACCTCTTTCCAGTGATGAACCTCATATATAAACTCATATAAAACATATGAATCTTTTTCAATAAACTCATATATGAACCTCTTTCAGTTTCATGAATCTGGTAGACACTTTCTCTACCAGATCTCACCTCTTGAATCCATTTGTCACCTCCACTGTATAATCATAAGGGATTTAATTTAGGTCGTATCTAAATGACCTAGTCGTTTTCCCTACGTTCTTCACTTTAAACCTGAATTTTGCTATTAGGCGCTCACGACCTGAGCCACAGTCAGCTCCAGGTCTTGTTTTTGCTGTCTGTATAGAGCTTTTCCATCTTCAGCTGCAAAGAACACAATCTGATTTTGGTATTGACCATCTGGTGGTGTCCATGTGTATAGTTGTCTCTTAGTTGTTGGAAAAGGGTGTTTGCTATGACCAGCGCGTTCTTTTGACAAAACTCCGTTAGCCTTTGCCCTGCTTTTGCCCTCCAAGGCACAACTTGCCTATTATTCTGG